TAGGGCTGCCCAGCACAGATGGCCCATTCTGAGATAAGATATTTTCCCAAATTTGTGATTATCCCCCAGGCTGTTCTGTGGAACAGGGTTTTATGGTCTGTTCCTGGAGCTGTTGCCTTATGGACTAGTTCCTGGGACTTATGCTCTGTTCCTGGAGCTGGTGTCTTATGGTCTTCTTTTTGAAATCAGGCCTTGTCCTTAAATGGAGACAAATGGGGTTTATGTCATCCTTTCAAGGACATTGACTTGAATCCACCTCTTGCAGGTCAAAGGAACTGAAGACAGACAAGTACTAATAAGTTATTCTTCTGCCACTGAAATGAGCCAATCCAAACCAGATTAGAGTATATAAAAGCAGGTTTATTGGGAAACTGCTCTTGGGCCAGTGAGTTCATTAGCCCTAAGGAGAGAAACAGAGGGGATGGGGAAGAGAGAGAAAGCACTGCTATAGAGAGAAAGAAAAGAGAAGAAGAAGAGAGCAAAAAGAACCCAAAATGTCTGGATTATACAGCAAAGAGCCTATGGGGGAAGGGCAGCCCAGTCCCTGGGCTGGAAAGTTCAGGGTTAGTGGCAGGGTATGCCAAGTAGGGGCTGAAGGATGCTGGGAGAACCTGGAAGCCAGGTTTGCTTTGCTATGTAAAATATGCACCTCAGCCCTCTGTCCCACGTCTGAAACCCAATGAGTACTTAAACGTTTCCTCATCTCCCTGTTTCTGAAAGTGGGATCTCTCTTCCTCTCCCTGGCCATGAAAATCCCCTCTCCTAACTACCAGAACTATGGGCCTGAAAGTTTCACACACTGGATAAAAAATTTTCTTCTAAGCTCCTTAACTTTATGTTCTCTCCCTAGTCTTTTCTTCCCAGCTGACTTCAAATCAACTACAGACTGCTCACCTACTCCAGGTCTTCCTGCCTGTCTGCCTTAGGGTCTCTTTCCTCGAGGGATCCATAGAGATCCGCAGATCTCTGGCCCAGCTGGAGGAGCCAAAGAGTTACAGTTTTCTGAGGGAAAGCTGGAGCAAGGTGAGCTACTGCTGACCAGAAGTCAGTGGCAGGCAGCTAGACATAGCAGGCAATAGGGACCAAGGTTGAGTCTACCGAGCAGGAAGTGGCTGCTGTAGGCTCAAGCACCCAGCTGGTTTAGCCAGGTCGAGGTCCAGACAAAAGCTTTGGGAGAGAATACTCTTCCCTAAAGTGCTACAGCTCAATGAGACAGGCACTCTCAGATGATCTTTGGTGAAATAATTTGTGAACCTTATTCCTTGTGGATAGGACCTTATAAACATTTTGGGGTGGGTTGGGAATCTAGAGGTAGATGCTTCCTATTGGCTTGGTGTGAGATGTTAGGGATGCCTCATCTGCCTGTGGAAGGACTCCAGGTGTTGTCCCTACGTGACTGTCACAGTCCTCTCAATGGGGTGTCATGGTCACGTGTTCCAGGACAGAAACTGGTTGGGAGTAGATTTAAATGTCTACTGTTCTCAATTATGAGACTCTCTGGGGTTCCTGAACCTGCTTGACCTTACCAGGTTTTCTGTCTGGTGGCACAGTCCAGTGCCCCAAAGTTCCTTTATAATCTGTATCCTAGATAGCTTCAAAGCAGCTAGCTTTGTGATCCAGCCTCACAAACTGCTCCAATGTGCCTGCACTTCCCTCACCCGAGGAGGTCCCAGAAAGCCTGGTCAGCAAATAAAACAGCCTACTCTTCCTGGCCTTAGCCAACAATCCAGCTTTCTTGGGTCCCTAAAAAAGGGAGATGAATGTCAGCAGAAAGTTGTCATAGAAAAGATTATACCTCCCTTTATCATTTATTTATTTATTATTAACAGAAGGCTGGGATGTTAGAGGTGCCCATTAACATTGTCTTAGTTTGGGTTTCCATTGTTATGAAGAGACACCATGACTAAGTCTACTCTTATAAGGGACAACATTTAATTGGGATTGGCTTACAGTTTCAGAGGCTCAGTCTATTATCATCCTGGCAGGAAGAATGTCAGCATCCAGGCAGACATGGTGCAGGAGAATAAGCTGAGAGTTCTACATCTTTATCCAAAGGCAGTCTGGAAGAGACCCTCTTCCAGGCATATAGGAGGAGAGTCCCAAAGCCTTTCCACAGTAACACACTTCCTCCAACAAGGCCACACCTCCTAACAGTGCCATTCCCTGGGGCAAGCATATTCAAACCACCATACACATCAAAGCAGATGCTGGCTGTCAGGTTCTCCCAGCAAAACATTCTTTCACTTGTTTCTGCTTCAGCGAAACATTCCTTCATATGTTTGCCCCAGAAAAACACCATCCAACACAACTGACTTTCCAAAGAACCCTTAAGTTTCCACTTCAGTTGACATCTGGTCAAAGTATCTAAAAAACTACACACACCCTTTTGCTGTTGTCTTAGTTACTTTTCTATCACTGTAATAAAACACCAAGACCAAGGCAACTTGTAGAAGGAAGGGTTTATTTGGGCTTAAGGTTCTATAAGGATAAGAGTCTAGCCTGGGAGGGTAGAAAGCCAAAAGCTGGACCAGCAAGTAGGCTGAAAGCTTACATAATGAACTACAGCACAAAGCAGAATGAACTAGAAACAACATGAGTCATTAAACTCTCAAAGCCTGCCCCCAGTGACACATTTCCTTCAGGAAGATCACACCTCCTAAATTATCTGAACAGTGCATGTTCAGTTAAAACCCCCGGTTTACTCCCTCCCAACCCCCCATGGTCCAGTAAATTCCATTCCTTCCTCTCTCTTCAACCCTGTCTACTCAGAAAGCCTCCAAACAAGGAAAAGTCACCAAAAGCCCAGTTCTGCATTCCTGACATTCCTGATAACTACTGTAACCTCCTCCCCTGAAGTGGCTAGCCACCCAAATCCCCACTTTATGTGACCATACCTGGGCACTAGCCTAGCCTATAGCTCCTCTTGCTGAGAGCCATTCCCAAATAAACCTGCTCTTTTAAGATTCTAATTTGGCTTGAATTGACTTATTTCAACTGTGGAGGAAAACTACTAAGTGCCATCAACCGGGGGCCAAGTGTTCAAATGTCCAAGACGATGGGGGACATCTCATCTAAACCTCCACAGTAATAATCTGCCTACCTGCTGTGTATTTGGTAAGCATCTCCAGCTGTGTATTTGGTAAACAGAAAAGATGACGACCTGGTGGTTACCACGCCTTCCCTTTCTGTCAGGAAACTGGAAATGAGCTCTGGCTATGGGCTGTCTTCTCCAGCTCCACCCTCCCCCTCCCCCAGTGCTCTTGCTCCACTACCCTTCCTTCCATCCTGTAATACAAACGCAGAGCATGCTCAGCATGTATTTGTGCTTGTAGGCTCTGTCCCTCAGCTTTTCAGTCCAAACACTGCAGAGACAAGGATAGAACCTAATGGAGGTCGGGTTTGCTCTGCAGAGTGCAGGGCGACCGGCAACCTTAGGAAGGTGGTTGTCCTACCATCTCCAGGGCCACTAATCCCAGTCCTGCCCAGTTCTATCCCCTGTCTCACCTGCTCTTCTAGGCCTCTTCCTCTCAGCACTGCCCATTGATAACACGTCTGCCCCTTCTCCAGGCATTGTCACCTCCCTGAAGTACAGCCCACTAATTCCAGCTTCCCTCCAGCTTCCCACTGGGCTTCAGCCCTGAATCTCGCAGGCACAGACTGAATGAACTTCCCAAGAACCAGAGAAATGAAAGTGAAACTAAGTCTAAGCTGAGCTGAGAAACGCAACAGGGAGGGAGGGAGAGGGAGGGAAGGAAGCTAAACAAATCAGAAAACAGGGTGACTTCATCTGAGGTCACTGAACCTGCCTTCTCCACCACTATGCTTTCTAGGGCCAAAGAACATTGTGTGCCAGGAACCATGCTTGATCCCACTTGTGAGAGCACTTCACCATCAACTCTTTCTCACTTCTCTTTTTTGAACCAAACCAAACCGGGGGAATGTTAGCATTCTGTCTAAACTCCACCCCACAGTTACCTAGCAACAGCCAGGTAGGCCGACCCACTATAAAAGGGGCTGCTTGCCTGCTCCTCCCTCTCTTGATCTCTTGCCTTCTTGCTACCACCCTGTCCCCTCTCCGCCATGTGCTCATGGGGAATTCCCTTCCCCATCTCTCCACGTGCTCAAGGCTGCCTCTGCTTCGCTCCCCTCCCCCCCCACCCTTTTAACTCCTCCCTGTGCCTTGAATAAACGCTGTTCCATGCTATGCCGTTGTGTGGCTGGTCCCTCAGTGGGAAGGGATGCCTTGGCATGGGCCCACTGAGACATCCCCCTTCCCCCCACACCTCACCACACCCCCATAGAACATATCCCCTATCTCTTTATCTTTTTATAAACACAACAAGAGCCACCAGCATGGACCAGGTGCTAGCTACCAAATCTGCCCTCAGTCTTGGGGCAGAGGTCAAAACCCTGTGACATGGTCTACTCTAAGAGGACCCTAGTGTCTGTCCTGCTAGTTTCCAGGACAAGCAGCCCAGGGAAAGGGCTGCAGCACGCCAGTCCAAGAGCTCTGAGGAAGACAGACACTTACTTCCCTGAGCTGAGGGATGTTCTCTGCAGAGCAGGGCTTTCCTCTGCAGAGTAGGGCAAGGGGCAGCAGATCCCTGAAGGCACCTGTTACCCTCACCAGCCCTGCAGCAGCAGTGTGCTCAGACCTCTAGACCTGCTGTCACAAGGGACCCAGAAGGGCTGGCAGGATCCTGCAGTGATTCCTGGTAAGGTTTGTTTCTGACCCTCCCTAGTGCTGGGATGGTTCTGACAGAAAGCAGGCAGCCATCTGAACTGATGTCCATATAGCATGCCTTGGTGGGCTGGGCCTACAGTATCAATTTCCGAACCTCTGGACCGAGCCAAGGTCCCCCGAGGGTGAGTTTCATTTCTGAGCACAGTGAGTTTCAGTTTCGTTTCTGAGCTCCGTTTGTGTGTGCTGGGGGTTGGCAGCAAGCTCAAGCCTTTTCACTAAGTTTCAATTCTCCTCTGGAAGGGGCGGAGTCAGCACTGTTAAAAGAGCTCTGAGTTCTGGCAGCTGGACACTCTGTTGCCAAGCCAGGAGTGGTGAGTATTGCACGGGATTCTGTGAAGGGATAGAGGATACCTTCTAATGGTTCTTTGTAGACATTGGTGAGCACTGCAGGGCATTTGTTGGTGCTGTTACAATAATGGGGACAGTGACAGTTTGTGTGTGGTGTGGTGGTGGTGGGAAGGCAGTGAGCTCAGTTTGTGTCTGATGTGGTGCTGATGAGAAGGCAGTGACTCAGGCAATCTCAATGTCTATTCTCCCTGGCAAGGGGTGGAGCCAGAAGTGTTTAAAGACACTGGAGCCCAGAAAGCCAAGCACTCAGTCATTAAGCAGGACACTGGTGAGTATCTAGGGGACAATCTGTACCTCAAGGTAAGGATGCCTCTGGGTTCCTTGTGGATCCTGGGGGTCACTGTGGAACATTTCTTGGTGTTATTAAAATAAGGGGGTCAGTAACAACACAGGTGGAGCTTCTAGGCTAGACACAGTGCCCTATCCAGCTGCCGATCCTGGGGGCAGTGTGAAATACTCCTCAAACTGCAATTATCTCTGCTGGGAGGCAGCAGGAGATGGTGGGGGTCCCAGGGCCTCCGGGGTCTGGGGCTAAGGCCTAGATGAGAAGTTCCAGATCCCCTGCTGCCTGGGCTAAGAGTCCATGAGAAATCAGATGGAGATCTCTTGTTAAGGGTTGGAGGAAGCCAGGTGACCCAGGGGCAGGCTTTGAAGTGCAGACAGGAGCCTGCTTTGGAGACCCTGCTGGAAAGGCTGACAGGATCTGTATAGAGAAATGCTTCTGTCCAGGTTCTTCCAGGTCCCTAGACAGGACATGCTCTGGCTGTTCTGAAGCCCTACCTCTGCTCAGAGTGCAGGTGTCCCTTAGACCTTTCATTCTCAAAGGCTCAACTGCAGGGGACATGGAGGGCAGGAACCCTGGAGAGGAAAGGGTTCTTGAGTCTCTCTGTGGCCACTTTAACACCCTGATGGGCCTGGGAAGGTTCCCATTCTTAGCATCTTAGAGTTGTTCTGGACAGGCATGGTGGTGGGTGGTTAGGGTTCTGACAGTGAAAGGAACTGAATTCTACCCCCATGCTGTTCCTGTTTCCACTGGGCTGAGGGTATATCCCCAACAGGGAGCCCTGCCTCAGGGCCTTATTTATTTATTTATTTATTTATTTATTTATTTATTTATTTATTTTAGAATAACTGATAGATGTCACATTGAGTCCACACAAATGTCCACTATGTACTGTAGAGCGGAAACAAGCCAGCCATCCCAAGTACAGCAGGAATGGGCACAGGACACCCCCCGCCCCACACACCTGTTTACTTGTGTGTGCCTGACCCTAACCTTCATGTGAGGCGTGAATCCGCATGACATGTGGTGGTCTCTGTGGGGAAGAGTCAGGAAGTAGAGAGACAGGAGGCAAGGTCCTGCTGGTCTCCTGAAAATTAGAGTTTATCTAGTGCTGGAAGCAGCTTCTACTTGACTGGACTGAGATCTGGATGGGCAGATGCACTCACTTCAGGTGGACAGTACAGCTGGCTACCCAGGGCACTGAATGTGCAGAAATTGGTGTGACCTTTCAGGTTTCTCTCCTTTAGTGATCCACCAAGTCTCAAAAGCGACTCAGGAGAATTATACATGCTTGTGAATTGCAAACCGAACACAGGGTTTAGATCTCAGAAAAGGAAACAAATGGAACAGACTCCTAAGTCCTGTTGGGACTGGTCACTCAGAATCTTTGGTCATGGGACACAAAGCTGGGACCAGTGATATTCCCTGCTTGTGCAGTGAGACTAATCAAGACAGCCATGGACCAATAGATGAGACTCAACTGAATGAAGTGAAGGGGTGTCCACTCTGGAGCCTGGGTCCCCTTTAATATACAGTCTTTCCAAAGCAGGGGAAGGAGAGCTATGTCTGAAGGATTTTTTAGACTAACAGACTCCATGAGTGCCTTTACGATTACTCCCCTTTCATGATTCCCTCCCACAAACAAATGCCTGCCTTTCCAGAAGGACCCCTGGGATGGGATTGGCAGGAAAGACTGGAGGTTGTAATGTTGATATCTTTGGTGTAAATCTTAACCAAGGTCCAGAAAATTGTATTCCAGACCGTTCTAGCTTATAATATTGATTTCCAACAGAGTGCCTAATTGAGAGAAGAAGTAAAAGATGGTTCTTAGCACAGAAGAAAACAGAAGCGTTGATTCAGTCAACTTACCCAGTGACCCACTGCCCAATGGAGAGACTGGCCTAGGAGAGAAAGACAAGGTATGACCCATGTCCATCTGAGGGCTGCTCCTTTATGTCATACCCACTGGAGATGGAGGATGCATCCTGGGGCAGGATGCAGATGTGCCTACTGTTATCTTTGCTTGGGCCAAGGCAAGACCAGTGGCCCTCTCGTGTCCTTCATTGAATGTGTCCAGGATTCCATCGTGCTCTGAAAAAGATGGTATTGTTAAGGACTGGCAGGGCCCTGGACAGTGCTATGCTGTCCTCTGCCCATACCATAGCTGTGTCTCCAGCTACAACCCCTGTTTGGACTCACTGAGACATTACCTCCTGGGAGAAGCCACTTGGTATCTGTTTTCATAGATCTTTGGGGGATGTTTCAGATCTAAACTCATATACGCTCACACTCACATGCTTTGGGGGCAACCATCTATGGTTACTTAGCACAATCTCTAGGGAGATAGGTACTGAGTTTCTGATTTGGGTGTTTTCAGGTCTACAGTAGCAGCCCAGCCTCCGCTAGGGCTGGAGCCATTTCTTTAACAGGCACAGGTGTACTCTGTTAGCAGTACAAGTGAGACTCTTACATCTCCTGGGGGCACAGCTGTTGTCAGCAACAAAGCCCTAAAGGACCTGGTGCTGCAGTACTCGGAACAAGTCCTGGGGTGTAGGATACTGTTGCTAAAATTCTTTCTCTAGGCGAGACAACAGTATATGACCCTCCTTCTAAGGTCCCAAGGACAAACCAAGGTGCGTGCAGTTTAACCAGCATTCACCAGAGGACCAATGTATTTATTAGGCTTCCTGGCAGAGTAATGGGTAAGGAAGACTTCTAAAAAGAAGCTTTCATTTGGGAGACCATCTCAGATCACCCCACAGACAAGAAGTCAAATATGTGATAACCGAGACAAGCTGTAGTAACAACTTTTTGACTGTGATAAGAGTTCCATACCGTAGTGGAGCTACAAGCTGGTCAACATGAGAATAAAGAGAGTTTAGTATAACAAACACCACTGGAGTGATCAATATGAGAATAAAGAGTTTAGTATAATAAACGCCACTGGAGTGATCAATATGAGAATAAAGAGTTTAGTATAATAAACGCCACTGGAGATCTGTGATGTGTGTGCATCTCAAAAGTGGGTAATAACACTTCAGAGTAACCAATAGCTGGGGGTTTGTCAGTATCAAAGCTGGAATCAGAGATGGATAGAATGGGCCTTCAATTACTCCTAACTGAGCAGGCATAACATAAACAGTATATGATCATCTCCCTGGTTGGGCCAGAGGACATACATAGAGTATGTGCCCTGTCATTGGCTCAGCCCAGAACAGCCTGGAGAATTAACCGGTTTTCACAGAGATTACTTCAGCCTTTGTCCAGTTTTTGCCACGACCCTATAAAAACTGTGGACAAGGGAAACTGAATGGCTTTACTTCTGCCTTGGAAACCCATGTTTATCTGTCTATCTATCTATCTATCTATCTATCTATCTATCTATCTATCTTCTCTGGAGATAGTGAATCTGAAGTTACCTTTGCAGGTCCATTACTGGTAATCAGGAGCTTGCTGTACTTTAGGTGCTTGGACCATGCACAACATGGATCCTGTCTTTCATCATCAAGACAGAAGAATCAACATTTTTGATTTCCTCGAATATATTTTGCCTATTTCTCACTGTTTAGGGAATTCTAACAACACATATATTGCTGTTGAACTCTGTTGGCTTTGCTGGAACATCTCCTGTGGTGCATGACCTCACTCTTGCTGGAACATCTCCCGTGGTGCATGACCTCACTCTTGCTGGAACATCTCCTGTGGTGCATGACCTCACTCTTGCTTTCCCCTCATCTAGGATTCTGTGAACAACCTCTGCAGTCAGTATGAGGAGAAGGTGCGACCCTGCATTGACCTCATCGACTCTCTGCGGGCTCTGGGTGTGGAGCAGGACCTGGCCCTGCCTGCCATCGCTGTCATTGGGGACCAGAGTTCAGGGAAAAGCTCTGTGCTGGAAGCACTGTCTGGAGTGGCCCTTCCCAGAGGCAGTGGTGAGAGCTCAGTACCTGTTGCTCTGCTAGGCTGGAGGCCTTGGGACTTCTAGTGTAGAAACAGGTCTTCTCCCAGTTTGGGGACATAGCAGAATAATGGTCAAGGTGCTCTTACTTTTGGGCTTGAGGTGCAGGCTTATAGTTTCTTCTTCCTCTCACAAGGGCACCAGGTTCAGAGTCAGACACTAGGGTTCCACCCATCCAGCTTCTCAAGCCCTCCATCAGCCTACATTGCCTCTTTTTGGGCTCTGTATCTAACAGAGTCACTCCAAGTGTTGGTGCTAAACACATGTAGTGGGGGCAGCTTTCAGTCCATCACACGCTCCCATTGTATATTTGAGAGACACTTGAAATCAGCAGTTTGCAGGAGCTCTGATTGAGTGGGTCAGGTCCCAGACCCTTTCCTTTGAGGTGACTGTTCCCTTCAGAGAAGAGACTGGTGTCCAGGTTAGTGTTGCTGTATAAATTCTATGGCTGAGGCAGTCATTGGACACTCAGGGAGCCAACTGGTTCAAGGACACAGATGAAATGCCATAGACATGACAGGAGTTGATCATAATACAAGGCATGATGAAGTAGCCTGAGGGACACGATGACCAGGATGTGTAGGCTGGTGGGACATGTCAGGTGTGTTAAAGGTTCTACCAAGGTCCCTATGGAGCTGAGAGTGCCAAACTAGGAGGAACCCTCCTAAGGGTTCCATAGCTATCCACCTGAAGTAGTTGGTAGCTTTTACCCCAGATGAATAACCATAACCAGGGTTCTTGTACCCAGAATATAGACCTGAGGTCACCCTGGACAGGCAGCATCAGATGAGACCAGATGTTTTTATTCCCAGCATCTCTGCAGATGAGAGTGTGAAGGTGTGGGCACCTCTAGCCTAAGGCCCCATACTGGTGTGTGCAGCAGACCACTGGATTAACATGGACCTTATCTTATAGGTATTGTCACCAGATGTCCTCTGGTGCTGAAATTGAAGAAACTGAATCAGGGAGAGGAGTGGAGAGGCAAAGTCATCTATGATGACATCGAAGTGGAACTCTCTGATCCTTCACAGGTGGAAGAGGCCATCAACAAAGGTCGGTATCCTGTTTCTCCCTTACCCTCTGACTATCTGTCAACACTATGTCTTGAGTCAGCGGAAAAATGCTGAGTCTTTCTGTCAGGACCTTGTTCCCTTCAAAGCTGCTGTCACCCAGGACCCCTGCACAGAAGAGGCTTCGAATTCCCTCTTTGTGGCTGTGGCACAGTTCCTCACAGAATGCCTTACAGGACGATTTACATTCTATCCTGGATTCAGAGGGTTTTGTCCATGGTCACCTTTTCCTACGATCCTGGGAGGAACATTATTGTGACAAGGACAAGTGGAGCAGACAGGAAACAGAATGTCACAGGAGGGGTCGGAAATAAGACACATGGACCTGTGCCTAATAACCTACTTCTTCGAGCATAATTTCCCCTCCAAAGTATCTAGAAGCTCAAAATATGAGCAGCTGAGGACCAACCCAACTTCTCAGTGGAGGAGCCTATAGGGTCACAGCATAGCCAAGGCATGCTTTCCCAGAATTCTCTGGAATAAGATCCCCCCTCTATCTGCCCTCTAGTCTCCTTATCCCACTGCACTAAGCTTGACCAGGCTATCCTTTTTCCTCCTTTGTAGGTCAGAACTTCATTGCTGGGGCAGGGCTGGGCATCAGTGATAAGCTCATTAGCCTGGATGTCAGCTCCCCACACGTTCCAGACCTGACTCTGATTGACCTGCCTGGAATTACTAGGGTGGCTGTAGGCAACCAGCCTGCAGACATAGGACGCCAGGTGAGACTCCAGACCCTATTCTGACACAGGGTTGCAGGGGTACTGGGGTATGTCCAGGGCTATGTCTAAGAGAGACCTTGTGGAAGTGGGAGTAAGGCTGGATAGCCAGGCTTTACCACGACCGCCATGTTTGATGGAGACAGGGAGACAGATGGCTACAGTCTATGGAGGCTAGGGCCTGAACCCTGAATCAAGTAGATGGTCAGGATCATCTCAATCTTGATCCTGTCTCCATTATTAAGAGTCATCATCTAATTTCTTACAGATCAAGAGACTCATCAGGACATACATCCAAAAGCAGGAGACCATCAACCTGGTGGTAGTCCCCAGCAATGTGGACATTGCTACCACAGAGGCCCTGAGCATGGCTCAGGAGGTGGACCCTGAAGGGGATAGGACCATAGGTAAGGAGAGTGGGAGATAACAGTGGTGTGTGAGTGCAAGTGAGATTCATCTCCTGGATCCAGATGGACCAAGCTCAGGATCCCACTGAGGCTAGGAAAAGGGACCCCCTCATCTCATCTCCCAGGTAGAAAATGCCTGAGGAGCCAGAGGTGGACAAACACGGGGAAGAAATCATATCTGCTGAGACTCATTGGGCCAGGAGCCATGGTAAAGTCCATGGTAGAGTGAAGAATGAACAGCTGTTGTCTGGGTGGTGGCCATGGAGAGGTGCTGAGAAGTCTGCAGATGACAGATGGGCTTCACAAGGCCATGTACAAGTCTCTATGGGTGGGTTTTTACCTTGCATGGGGTTTGTATAGATCATGTCTGCCTCAGCCAGGGATGGGATCCTGGTGGCCTGTGAGAACTGAGCTTCCTGCTGTCTTGGAGCAGTGTGTGTCCTCTGATCTCAATGCCTGTCCTTCAGGGATCTTGACCAAGCCTGATCTGGTGGACAGAGGTGCCGAAGACAAGGTCGTGGATGTGGTCCGGAACTTGGTGTATCATCTGAAGAAGGGCTACATGATAGTCAAGTGCAGGGGTCAGCAGGACATCCAGGAGCAGCTGAGCCTGACTGAGGCTCTTCAGAATGAGCAAATCTTCTTCAAGGAACACCCTCATTTCAGGTGCTAGATCCATTTGCTTTACTACCCTTTCCCTGAGGTTATGTCTAGTAAGCTCTGTTTTCTGGGGCCAGCAAAAAAGAAGACGGATTCTATATTCAGATCCAGTCTGCTAGTTTGTCTTTACTACAGATCTCAGACTTACTATTCAGAGTTATTATTGATGGGTATGTGCTAATTCCTGTCACTGGTTTTGTTTTGTTTGTTTTTGACTTTGCATTTTGAGACAGGGTTTCACAATACAGTTCTGGCTGTCCTGGAATTCACTATGTAGACCAGGCTCACAGAGTGTACTACCATGCATGGCTTTGTTGTTGATTTAATGGTGTTCATTGATTTCTTTTGATAGACTATTGTGTTATTGCATATTTATTTCCCATAAGTTCTTGGATATATTTATCCTTCTCTTCAGATCCCAGTAATTTTTTGAGAATCCTCTGCAAAGCTGTATTAGCAGTCATAAATTCCCTAAATTTGTTTTTATCATGGAAGTTTTTATTTCTCCATCAATTATAGATAGCTTTGCTGAGTATAATAGTCTGGATTGACATTTGTGCTTTTTTCAGAACTTGGAATACATCTTTCCAGGTTTTCTTGGCTTTAAACGTTTCCTTTGTGTGCCAGCCTTTAACACCAGCACTTGGGAGGCAGAGACAGGTGGATCTCTAGGAGCTGGAGGCCAGCCTAGTCTACATAGTGCGTTCTAGGACAGCCAGGATTACATAGAGAGACCCTGGTTCAAAAAATCAAAACAAAGGTTTCCATTCAATTCCCTTTCTATCCTACCATTCAATCACTTCTATGATTGTTATTTTTTGTTTGTTTAAGTAAATTAACCAGTGTAGAAATTGGATCCCTAATAAGAGTAAGCTGCCACAGACAGGAAGAGTTCTAACTTCCTTATGCCTTGTATCCTTAGCATAACAGTGTACTGTGTGAACACAGATGTTGGTAGTATGAGACTAGTATAGCTTCATGCCTTTAAGAGCTCATGGCATAAATCCTGTCTTGAGCCAGGGTGAATCTCCCCACTTTACTTGTTCATCATACATATGCAAATACATGTCAGTCAATTTGTATAAAGACCTGGGTCTATATGTATTGTCTATATTTCTGTGTATTATGCATGTGAGTGTGCATGCATGTACTCATATTGTAGCCTATATGGAAGGGTATGTATACTAATATGTATTATACATGTATATTGCAGGTGTTTTGGGGGTCCTGTTTAGGGTTTAATAATAAAGACACAGTATAGTACAAAACACTGAACAGTACAAGGCTGCTAGTCTGTTTTCTGGGGCAGTCCCTCAGCTAGCTGTCCAGACTGCACCTCTCTTCCCTGCCACTGTGTCTCTATCACCTGGCTCTCTCTGCTGTATCTCTCAGTATTGCTCCTGTTCTTCCTCTGCTTCAGTTCTAGCCTTCGTCTCTTTATTCATCAAGAGTCACACTCCCTTCTCATACAAAAAAAGTTATTAGCAAAGTGGGCTTCCTCACTCTTAGACAGTCAGCAGCAGGCAGGACTGTGTGCTATGCCTGTAGCCAGATTGAGAGCTGCGTGACCTACCCCCTGCAGCTTGCTTTTTTAACATGATAATCTCAGAGAATCATCTTTTTGGGTGGATGAGAAAGTGACAAACGATTACATTTAGAAAGTAAGTATTGTGGACTGTAGAAATGACAAGACCATATATCCTGCCAGCACCTGGCACTGCCAGCGCAGCAATTAACAACTGAGAATACAGGGACGCACCTTCATAGCCAGTTGATAAAATATCTGTGCGATAGGTTACTCCAACACATGTAATGTGTGTGTTTACTCACTTACCACACATGAAAGGATGTGTTGTATGTATACTTGTGTGCGTATGTTCATGTGTATCACACATGGACAGGGATATGTGTGCTATGATAACATAGCTGTAGTTGTGTATGTATGTTTGGTGGAAAGCAGGTTTTACAGGTTTTATTACATGAGCCAAGGGGGATCATTGCAGCCCACTGTAGAACTATCCAAGCTGATTCCCCTGCATCATCCCACAAACCCACCTCTCAGTAGGTATCCCATTCACTGATAGTATCCAAACTGTCCTGACATCCCCACAGCAGGCTGCAGACTTGTTCTCTGGCCAGGTCTGATAGAACCCTCTCTCCTGTTCCCTCAGGGTTCTTCTGGAGGATGGGAAGGCCACAGTGCCCTGCCTGGCAGAAAGACTGACCACCGAACTCATCTCACACATCTGTGTAAGCTATAGAAATCCTGCTTGGAAACAAGAGTTCTTGGCACCTGTTGACTTGTTGAGACAACAAAAGAGTTTAGGAGTCTTGTGTTGTTCCAACTTCCACTGTTTTAGAAGCTACTAGAAGGTGCTTTGTGGCATTTTCCTATATAGAGTTCATGTCTCTGATACAGAAAGCAGTCTCCCTGGGTGGCTCTTTTAGGAACCAGCCATGTACAGTAGACAGGATTATGTTCCAGATGGAGGTGTGGGCAAACCTGGGTGGAAAGAGATGCTTCTCAAGTATTGCTCTGCACCTGGAAAATTGTCTGAATGTTGTCTGTATATCATGATGACTGTGTAGAATAGGCTTGGGGCCTCCTTTGCATTCCAGTCTAAATTTCTATGTTCCTTTCACCTCTTTCCATTCCAGAAATCTCTTCCTTTGTTAGAAAATCAAATCAAGGAAAGTCACCAGAATGCAAGTGAGGAGCTGCAGAAGTATGGTGCAGACATACCAGAAGACGACAGTGAAAAAACTATCTTCCTGATCGAAGTGAGCATAGTCTATGCTTCCAGACATGGTGACTACATCACTCTCTACACAGGAATCTGTCTGGTGCTCTTCAGATCTCCAAAGCTGATGGAAATGTACCCTGCCCATTTAATGTTAAAAAGGGAGTCAGGACAGACCATGGTTGAGTTCAGGGTGGAGCTGGGTGGCATTTTCTTTTATCCACACTGAGAGAAGAGTTCTCCCTGAGGATTTCAAAGGAAGAGGAGTAAGGGAGGTATTTCTTGCTGCAAAAGTCCCTTCTCCTTACTGTTCTGCTGGGCCCACCCACGAGGATGAGGTGGCACTCCTGCCTTCAGAGCACACACATGTCCTTTCACTACTTTATCCCTTGCTTGAAAGATCTCTGCTTATATTGATGTTTTTCTTCTTGACAGAAACTCAATGCTTTTAACCAGGACATCACTACCATAGTACAAGGGGAAGAGAATGTGGGGGAAGGAGAATGTCGCCTATTCACCAGGCTCCGTATCGAGTTCGTGTTGTGGAGTAAGGAAATTGAAAAGAATTTCCAAAGAGGTGAGTATCCTGTTCAATCTGTGTTGGTATCCTTAACAATCTTACACTCCATTGTTATTGACACTAGAAGTTCATCATTCATAGTTCTGGGTGCTAGGAAGTCCCAGGTCAAGGCACCAGAAGATGAGGTGTCTAGTGAGGTCTTCATCTCTGCTTCCATGATGCTCTAGCCTGGTCCTTGTGTGAAGAAGATGAGAATCAGTTTCCTCTGTCCTCTGTTCTGAGAACACGCTTCTCCTCTGTGAGGATGGGGCAGTCATGTCCTTGTCACTTCTTAAAGGCGCACTTTTCAATGCTAATACACTGGAAACGAAGTTCTACTTATGAACTTGGATGATGCATCAGATAAGGACCTGGCAATAGACCAAATTACACATACTACCAAAATCTAACTTGGTGAAACAAAGAGGTTTGGGGGGATTACTTACAGGAATATGGGCGATTACAGGCACAGAAATGACTCAGAGATATGTGTATCCTCAAAGACCGCCCCAGCATAGGTGATTGCCTATGAAATCTAGTGCACACTGCACAGCTTGCAGGCAGCTTAATAGGTTGGAGTTTGTCCTTTCTGGGTAGTTCAATTGGCCTGAACCTTTGCTAAGCAGCTTGATTTGTCTATGCTTCTGCCAGGAAGCCCAGCTTATCTAAGAGTGACTCTCAACAGTCCCTATTGTTTATATACACTTGAGGAGGGGGGCTAGTGAAATTTATCAGTTTCAGGGACTTCCTAAAACCACTCAGTTGTTTACTTCCTGAGTTTAAGCAGTCTCCTAGGAGGTTGTAGTGTTTACTTCCCTTAGGAACATCCTATTTTTTTTCACCTCCTTTTTAACATCTTATGCCTTAGGAGCATCCTTCTAAAATGGAAAGTTTTAATCTTGGAGGAAACTGCTGCCTGTGCAGGGCCTTCAGGCTGGGATGTCTTAATGTGTTTCATTTTGGCAATGAGAAGATAATATAAGTGCTAGCAGCCCTCTACCTCTGCAGTACCCCACATTTCCATCTTTATATCTTCAGAATCTGAAGCAGGAGAACGGTGTTTTAAATCTATTCTTTGATCATATATCAGTGCTGGGATGGCTAAGAGGAAATCCAAGGGACTTTGCCTTCCTTGAAGTTGCTTAATGAAGACATAGAATTGGTTTGAACCATTCAGAGATTCAGACAAATAGCTTCCCTTGGCATGAGTGACAGATATAGAAAGTGGAATGCTCTATCTCATGCAGGCCACATGTGGAATCCGATAGTCCCTTGTGGAGGATATGGTGGGTGGTCAGGTTGGTGCCTTATGAGACACTTATTTAAAGGCTGTGACTTTCCATGTCCTCCCTATGCTCACCACTAAGCCCAGGCAGCTGAAGCTGAACACTGTAGGCTCTACAGTGCGTCTTCACTCCATGAAAGTGCCACTGTCCCATTTCAAAATTCAAGAAGTGTTCGCCACTACATCTATTAGATGGGGGAAGGGGAGGTTAAAGAACAGACTATGAAGCAGCTTTACAACCCCAAGATACCAGAACAAGATCCAGTTAGAAAACAGGCAAAGGATTGTAAAAGGCATTCTGAAAAGAAGATACAAATGAATAATAAAACGCTCAAAAGATGTATGACCAGAGGCCATCAGAAATGCAAATGAAAACACAGAAATAATTCATGTCCCAAGCCCTAGGGAAAGTAGATTCAGAAAGGCAGACACTGCCAGATGCTGGAGAAGAGGCAGGGAAAAAGGAAGCCCTGGTGTAGTGATGGGGAATGTGAAATGGTATAGTTGCTGTGTATTACAGCAGTGAACCCTCAGAGAAGTGAACACACACTGCCTATTTCCACTCCCAGGGGGACTTGGAAAGAAGGCTACAGGAAATAGACAGCATACAAGCCCTTTTGCCTTGACCTGACATTTCTCCCCGTGTCGATAGAGTCTTCTCCTCTAGGTATTTGTGCATTCATGTCAATCCCTGTAAGGATTAGAGACCACACTACCAGACTTGTCTATACTTAGCCAGTACCTTTAAAAACCTCAGCTGCAAATAGTGCCACCTTGAGGTTGCTGGGTGTTTAGGACCACAGCACAAGAGTTTTGAGGAAGGCAGTTCAGCTGTTAGCATCACTCTCAGTGGAGTATTTTAACCCACAGAAAGGCAAAGAAGGAGTAGAGTCACAAGGTACTTGGCTGATGAACCTTGTAGGCAGGATACTGAGTGAAAACCACCAGTCACAAGGGCCTGTGTCCTGTAATTTCATTTCAAAGACACCCAGAATATACATATGGCGCAGACAGAGGCAGAGGACAGGCTTCAGAGTTGGAGATAGAATAAGATGAGGTACCATCTACTGGTAAGAAGAGTGGTTCCAGGGGTAACAGAAACTTCCCAGTACCAAGGGTAAGACTGTAGAGCTTGACTTACAATTCTCTGGATATATTTGATGTCTTGTTTAATGAGGTAAGCTTTCTTTTTAATTAAAAAATATTCTTTGGAGTCTGGAGCAGTGGCACAGTGGCTGTTCTTCTAGAGGATTTGGGTTTGATCTTCAGCACCTACACGCTGACTCACACAACCAACTGTAACTCCAGTCCCAGGAGAGCTGACACTCTCTTCTGGCCTGTGGAGGCACTGTATGCATACTGTGCACACACATACATGCAGGCAAAACACCCAAACACATAAAATGATAAAAACAAAACAATAACAAATACAAACAAACAAAAAACAAATTATCAGTTCATCGCAGAGAAAGCTGGCACCATCTGAGTCTGCTGCCTACTTCCAGTAGAGGTGAGAGGGACTATGTGTTTTGTGTCATGAACAGGGGATCAAGTCACCCTGATGCCTATTTCTCCTGTCATCCCTTGATGAAGGGTGCTTCTCCTCCCACCCAGTTTATGATTTAGTCTAGGGCCCACAGGGCCTGGTGAGCCATATGCTCTGACCCTTCTTTGGTCAAAATCCAGTTGGATTCATAAATCCACATGCTCAGGTCTTTTTGAGGCTGTATTTTCCTCTGGTTTCCACCTGTTGGATTCTGCCATGGTCTCTGGCTCTGATCTTGCCTTTTGCCTTAGCTGAGAAGAGGACTTAAGACTGTATTCATCTCTATAACTCTGAATATTTTTCTTTCTTTCCTTTTTTAAAGATTTATTTATTTATTTTATGTATGTAAGTATACTGTCACTCTCTTTAGACATACAAGGAGAGGGCATCAAATCCTATTACAGATGGTCATGAGCCACCATGCGGTTGCTGAGGATTGAAAATCAGTAACTCTGGGAGAACAGTCAGTGAAGCCATCACTCCAGCCCCCCTAAATATTTTTCAATATGCAGACATTTATTTGCTTCACTTTATCTTGTCAAATTCAGAAAGATCAGAATGAGTTTGTTTAGAAAAATCTGCAAGATGATTTTCGAAACAAGTAGCGGTTACTTCCTATTGTAGGTTATGATGTTTTATATAAAGAAGTCCAGACATTTGAAAAGCAATATCGTGGCCGAGAACTGCCAGGATTTGTGAATTACAAAACATTTGAGAACATCATTAGAAGACAAATCAAAGCCCTGGAAGAACCAGCTATAGAGATGCTGCACACGGTCACTGGTGAGTGCTGCACAGGGTTTCACTGAAGACAGCTTTTGTGGGTCTTAGCCATTTTATTTCTGGGATGGGAACAAAGGCAGTGCTCCACTTCAGAGCTGTCTGGTTCTAGGCCTGTGGGAGGTTTTCTGTGATCCTGGATACTACTGTGGTGTTCAGGAATCCAGTCTATTCTGACATTGTGGGCAGATTTGCTGTCAAAAGACAGAGTCACGAAACCTCCTAGGCCCTTAGCTCAGTTCTGTAGAGAACATGGCCAGAGTCCTTCATGCAAGATGGTGATCACCCTTCTCCTGCAAATATATTATCTCTGGAAACTGGGTGTACTTCTCTCTTCATCGGGCAAAGAGACAATAAAGGGGGAAAAGAGCAGGAGAGCACCCCTCACCTCTGCCCTGGTTTTGCATCTACATAGCGTGAACACATGTTACTCCTTACCACATTAAACTGTTTTTTTCTCTCTTCAATCAGAAATTGTACGAGCTGCCTTTATAAGAGTTTCTGAGAAAAATTTTTGTGAGTTTCTTAACCTCCACAGAACTGCCAAGGTAAAACCAAATGTATTATTTTTAAAGCATAATGAATATAACGGTAGAGAATCGGTGTTTTGGATTGAGATTATATCTGCTTTTCTGTGCTTGTTTGGAAAAGGCTTAGTTTAGTTCCTGCTTGGATTTTAATGATGAGGTTACTGGTGCTGTCTGACTAAAGTCAGAACATAGAGAGGGGAGAGAAGGGAGAGAGGAACAAAGGAGGATTCAGAGATGAATGCTGAAATCCACAAATGAGTACCATGTCAGGGAGGCTCACAGACCCATGTTACAAAGGCACTTCTGACATTGAGTGAAAGATGTCAGATATGGGACCCAAGGGGGACATTAAGATGGATTGTGGGAAGTAAGACATTTATTAGAAAAATTGTTAGTGTTATAGACACACAGCATACCAGTTGCTCTGAGGGAAGTCAAGCCCTAGGGCCCCAGACACTCTTGACAGGGATCTGACGAGGAATGAAGCTCACAGAAAACACACGGGTCCCTTATACGTCTCTGAGGAAGGAGGGATATTTTATAACCCTGTAGACATACTCTCTGATACCCTAGCATGCAGAAGGGAGAGGGATGGGGAAAATGTGACCACAGGTAAGCATCAGACAACCAGCAGTAGTCTTTCAATGTCCTTTGATGTGTGCAATGTGTCTTAGAAAACTTATTTCCCAAAATGAGAAATTCAGGCATCTGAAAGCCTATTGGCTTAGTAGGATAGCTGATGTTCTGTGAATCAGAGGAAAGGGACGCTGAGTTCTTGGGGCCAGAGTAGCAGTCTGGGCTGGATTCCCATCAGTGAGAATGCTGCGTGAAGGCTATCCTCTATGGCTGTCCTTAAAGCCCAGGACATGATGCCCATAGATGACTGGCCTAAAGTGAGCCCTTCTTCTATCCGCACATTCTCTGGTAGAAGCTACTTCCTTCCTGTAGATGTCGAAGCTGCTAAAAAAGCAAGAGTAGCCAGGTCAGAGCTGAGAGTTCACACAGGTCCCAGCCCCTGCCAATCTGTATTCCTTACTTCAGTCCTGGTTGTGACCAAATGCTTAATAGGAACAACTTAATATGAATTTATTTGGGCTCATGGTTTGATGGGAGACAGTTTGTTGTGTCCAGAAAGACAAAGAGGTAGGAATGTGAGCCAGCTGGTCACATTTCTCTGTTCAGAAAGCAGATGAATGCTGAAATTCAGAAGCTCAAACTATAGGATAGCACTGCCCACATTAGAATCAGTTTTCTATCTCATTTAAACACCTCTGGAAATACCTTCTCAGACATGCTTGGATGTAGAATCCTGTGTGATTTGAAATCTAGTCAAGGAGCTGGAGAGGTGATTCAGTAGTTAAGAATGCTTATACTGCTCTTGGAGAGGACTTGGGTTCAGTTCCCAGTACCCACGTCCAGTGGCTCTAGTTCCAGGGGATCCAGTCCCTTTGTCTGGCCTTTGTAGGCACTCGCATGAATACGGTATGTAAACACAAACGTATACAACACACATAAATAAACAAATCTTTAAATCCATTCAAATTGACACTGAAGACTGACCCTTGTGGCAGGGGGCTACTCATACCTGGCTCAGATCTCCCTAGGTTTCCACCTTCAGCTCAGGGAACCTCCGTACAGATGACCTGAGGAGGGGGGAAAGGGACTACTCCCAGGTAATGACTGCCTGTATTTCTGCCAGGTGACTAGATGCTTGTGGATCTGTTGCATGTTCTGTGTTCTTCCTCCATGGTAAGCATTTCTTGGTGACTATTGGCCTGCTTTTCTCTTTCTGTGCAGTCCAAACTTGAAGACATCAGATTAGAACAAGAAACGGAAGCAGAGAAGTTGATCCGGCTTCACTTCCAGATGGAGCAAATCATCTACTGCCAGGACCAAATTTACAGGGGAGCCTTGCAGAAGGTCAGAGCGGAGGAAGCTGAGGAGGAGGAGAAGAAGACGAAGCATGGCACCATCAGTTTCTCTAAGTCCCAAGATTTACAGAATTCCAACATGGCTGAGATCTTCCAGCATCTGAATGCCTACCGCCAGGTAAGTATGTGAACATATTGGAACTGGGTTTTAGGCCATGTGTTCCTTTTGTTTCTGTGTGTCTCTCTGTATAGGGTATAAGTCTGCAAGGGGTTTCAAGACAGCTCTGGCTTACAGCTCTAGGTAAGCCTCTGGGAAATAGTTCAAGTAGAAGCTAGGTCCTGACACCTGTTTGGTGGGGCACACATTACATAACTAGATAACAGCAGGTCCTACTCAATCAGAGCCACAGGGACTTAAAGCATCCATACAGGGGAAGTCTTGGTGACCTTCTCGTGTACAGAACTTTGTCTTAATCACTGGCTGCTAGAAGGCCAGTCTTATCATGTGGCCAAGCCCATTGTTCCTGGGTCCTATGGCCAAGCACATGTAGATAATCAGATTGTTTATCTGTCTCTGGGACTCTTGACAACTCCAGGGACCTCAACTAATGGGGGAGTAGAGGTTTTATCCTTCCTGACTGGCTTTTTTTCTGAGTATAATGCCCTCATTGTCTCTACATGTCATACCGTGAATCAGGGCTTGTCTGCAGACATCATCCCTTCCTTTTGGCCAAGGCCCTCTTCCCACCTAAGGTATCCATGACTGGATATCTTGGGTTACTGTGCCTTCTCTATGCCCCTCACCTGTGCACGCCACTCTTTCCCATTGCTTCTGTCTTCTGCAAGGACATTGAGGGAGGCCTGTATCTGCCTGCATCTTACTTCTCAGAGATGACTTGGGCCACACCCTAGCCATCTGTCCTATGTCCTGACATGACTTGAAGTTTGTGCCCCAACCACGACCAGGTACTTATCGCTTGTCTGGCATCTTCTTACTCTGGTGTCTTGTGACATCCATTTGACCATCTCTAGAAGGCAGTGGTCATGGTATACTTGTATCCTGAAGAAGAAAAATGAGTACCAGAGGAAACCAGCAGCAGATGACTTATAACTTGGAGAGCAACCTGTCTCAGGAGAGACAGGGAGGATTGAGCTGTTAGCTAGGAGAGCAAAAGGGGCAGGTGGAGGCTGACTTCCTTCAGGCAGCTCATTGAAAACTCTGCCTAGTGATGCTAACCTCCTACCGAGAAGCCTGGATCTTAAGGACAGGTGAGCAGTGCTCTCAGCAGAGGGGTCAGCCATTTTGAAATGGAGTTGGGATGTCTCTGTGGACTGTGTTCCATTGAAAATCCATTTGATGGTCAGGAAACGTAGAATCCAGAGTCTAGCTGCCAACTTGGACCTGCTCTGCCAGGACACTGAGGGGCCTGAGGGAAGCCTGTACCTGCCAAGATCTCACTACTCAGAGATGACATGGGAAGCTCAGGCTCCCTGCACCTCTCCCTCAAGCCTTTTGTGTCTCCCTCTACTAGGAGGCTCACAACCGCATTTCCAGCCACATTCCCCTGATCATTCAGTATTTCATCCTGAAGATGTTTGCTGAGCAGCTGCAGAAGGGCATGCTCCAGCTTCTGCAGGACAAGGACTCCTGCAGCTGGCTTCTGAAGGAGAAGAGTGACACCAGTGAGAAGAGGAAATTCCTGAAGGAGCGGCTGGCAAGGCTGGCCCAGGCTCGACGCCGGCTAGCCAAATTCCCTGGTTAAGCTGGCTCTGTCCTTTCCTGTGTCTCCTGGATACTGATTCTGAGACAGAAAGGCTCTTGCTTTTCCTGGTAGCTATACCACCACCCTTTATCCTTTGATAAATGTTAGCACTCAGATTTGAAGGAGCTTTCTGCTCACTCTTGAGATGAGGAAGGGAAAGAGGCTCCCAAAACTCAGCTAGTAGATGGATAGAGGAAGCCACTTTGCTGATAAGACAATGACTTCACCCTGAGTACACTTCCTACCCACCATGTGCTCTACCTTTTAGCACTCTGCCAGGAACAAGTATTTGATGTACAAATGGGCCATGGTGTTGGGAGCTGCCTATTACATTCCTTAATAAATCACTTTTCTTTGACTCAGTTTGAATTGGGGGAAGGGGTTGCACAGGACTGCAGAGGGTGGAGGGCAAATGGGCAAAAGGTTGCCCACTAAAAACCAACCCTCTTGGAATTGGGAACCAAGGAGGGTTTACTTCCTAGGGAGCGCAACAGGTAAAGACAAGCTTGGAAAGACAAACTTTCAAACACATGCATGCTTTGTGTACATGGGCACTGGCCTGCAGGGAATACAAAGCAGTCTCGGTGTGAGCAGAAGCTGTGGGAGATTCTGCATGCACAACTGTGGTAGAAAAACCATCCAGGGTAGTGCCAGATCAGCTAGGGAACCATACCCTCCCTGCAGGAGAGCTGCAGAGTCCCTCCATGACTGGGGCATGAGTAAATGAACCCTAGCCCTCAGACTGACTCTCCCAGAATCCAGCTCCAAATCTACCCAGCACTTCCTGCCTTCAAGTTTAAGAAGCCTTGGTTGCAGGTCACAACACTAGCTGAGGACAGATGCCCAATAGAAGCCTTGACACCAGGTTCACTGAAGCACTGAAGCATCAGGAATGCCAGGCCCAGGAAGGAGATGATGCCCCCAGTAGGGAGGGAGAGGGATAAAGGAGCTGAGGGACATTCTCCAAGAAACATGATGAAGGACATGGGGCACAGTGAGACTTCCAGAAAATCTGACTTCCTCAAAAGCGCCTTGCTCCCTGAGGAGACCAGCTGCATAGCCCACTCTTAGATGGCAGCTGGGCAGTTGACAAGCCACCCTGTGCTCTCCTAACAGATTTCAGCCCACATGTCTTCTGACCTTTGAAACTCTATTATCTCTGACTTTAGGAGGTTCTAGAATATGCTTACAAAGATGCTAGGAAGACAATGGCCACTGTCCATGTGCAATTCCATAGCTTGGGGTGGGTGATACCAATAGGCCTCTCCAAGGCTTACTGACCACTTGTCATTCCTGTGGTCACTGGAGCTCCCAGAGGCTGACTATGAACTGGAGCTTGAAGTGCCCAAGCCTTTCATCACAGAAGATTCTGGGAGAATACAGTGGGCAGAGAGTTTAAACATCTCTGACTCGTGTTTGTCCCTCTAGCCTGGTGCCTTAGGAGTTTTCCATGCCCAGGCCTAGCTCCATCTTATAGGGACATTAGATTTTGATGGACCAGAAACAGTCAGAGGCATGCAAGTATCAGATGTACCTTGCCTGGCTGCATTGTTTCCCTGGATATATAGAGGGTGAGGGGAGAAGGTGAGAATCTATGCTATAAAGGAGAAAGTTTATGTAGCGCCTGCTGGGTGTGGTTCTCCCAAAGAGCCAGGAAGATGATTTTTTCAGGATATAAATAACAAATGTCCAGACTCTATCCCTGTGGTGGTCATAACACAGGGTGAGGGCTCTGGGACCCCGCTATGAGATTCTAGCACTAGGAAAGGCTAGGTTCAGGCCAAAGCTCATTAGTGCCTCCAGGATGGCAATCACGTCCAAGGTATTGTCACCTATTATATACCACCTCCCTGACATGATGTTAGAATTTGTAGCTTATCTTCTCCTGGACCCCCAACCCAGGAAGGTGTGCATTATAGAATGGGCCTTGGTGAATATCACAGAGTGGGGACCTTTGGTGTAGTAAGGGGAGTAAGAGGAGGGCTAGACAGGTATTAACGGACTCCAGTAGACTGAACACTGGGGCTGGCATGCTGCAGGAGCTCAATCCATGTGTGATGGGGATCCATATGAACTTTGTTTCTAAGGTCTTGAGAAATGATGTTTAATGAGGAGAGCCTTCTGCTTTCTATAAATCCTCTTCAAATGGAGCATATACTTGCCACCAGCCAGCCAGCAGACCCCCACAGCAAGCCTCGTATCAAGGAAGGAAATCAATGTGAGTGTAACCCAACACTAGGTGACAGAGGGTCTGATGAGCCAGCACACCAGCTGTGTGCCTCTCAGGCTCATTGTACCCAGGCCAAGCAAGAAACTGCCACTCAGTGATGTGTCCCCTTTGTTTCCATTGAGGATGCTTCAGTGTTCCAGCTTGTTGGGTCTCAAGTACCATTACTGCAGGCTGATGTATTTAGGATGAGCCAGAAGCCCCCCAGGGGAAGTTCTCAAGCCTTCTTTCCAAGTACAGAGATTTTAAAGCTCTTGTCAAACACTGCACCCACCCAAGTGAGCCTGGGTTATGTCATGCCACATAGTCACCTCTCTACACTGTGACTGGACAGAATTACACTGCAGGTGTGCCTCTGGAACCACAACCTTGGTCTGAATGGAAAATAATTTTGAAGTCAGGGACCTAGATCACAGGAGAACCTCACAGACATGAGCTCAAGCAAAACTGTCATCCCCAAATTTAGCCAGTCAGTGATCATTTCAAGGCTGGTTTCAGCTACTTGCCCAGCTCTGAGAAGCTGCCAATGCTGATTTTTACTCTAATGAGAGGCTGGGTTAATTTACATTCAGAAAATTAAATGTGCTGTTTAACTACACCAACATCAATGTTTTCTTCATCTTGTTGCTTTTGGATTAATCTTTCAAGTGAAGCCAGCACCGTGTACAAATGAATTCGCCTAAGATGCAATTTCCCAACATGGAAGAAGGAAACATCCCAGCTTGTTTGCCCATGGAAGCACGTTAAACCAGCATCAGTCTTCACTGTCCCCAGTGTCTGATTGTAGTAACCCCAAGGCAGGTATCTGCAGCTGTAAATGGCCATGCCCCAGTGGCAGCTAGCAGCTAGCACTTTGCTTGCCGTACCAACACACACGCTGAGGCAAGTCCTTCTCCCAATAATTTACCACGGTATGTTGGCTTCTTTGCACATTTGCATTTTCATTATAATTTTGCTTCTGTAAGCCCCAAACACAGTGCTGCATATCTGTAATGTATCCGTCCTCAGCCCCATATGGCAGAAGCAGCTAATGGAAACATGATAGAGAAAGTTTGTTCAGGCTGAGGTATGAGGCTGACAGATGTGGGTTCAATGGTGAGGGATCTACAGGGTATCTAGATATGCTGTTTAGGGATAGAGATGTAGCTCATTTAGTACAGTACTTACCTAATAACCAGGTAGCTCTGGGTTCAATCCCCAGTACCACATGAAATCCGTGTGGTAATACATGACTTTGATTCTAGCACTCTGGAGGTAGATGGATAAGGTCAAAGTTACCCTCTGTGAATCTATGTATCACCTTTTCTTTTGATCTATGTAGCATTTGAGGCTATCCTGGTGGTCTTAAACATAAGGTCTTGATGGAAGGTAAGACAAGAAAGGAGAATGATATCACAGCAGAAACACATGTATACTAAGAACTCCAAGCAGAGTGGCTTTTAGCTCTTATGTAGAAGACCACATCCATCTTTCTCCTGTCCATAGTCCCAACTACAGGGAAGAGAAGTATACATTGTATGAGACAGCATCTCTGTCACCATGAACCATCTTGGACTTTGAGAAGAAGAGTACAGATGCTGGACTTAATCTAGGTCAGGTTGCCTGATGAGGTGGGAGCCTGGAAATGTGGAGCCCAGAGATAAGGGCCTCCACATGCCAACTGACATAAATAGATGCCTGCTCTGCTCTTTTTTCAGGACCAAGAGGCTATGAGGGAGGCCTGAGGAGGAGCTGAGATGGAGTGGTGGTTCTTGGAGTCTGACTTTGGGAAGCTGTGTTGGGGAGCTGATAAGGCTCTTGCAGGAGTCATTGGAAGACTATATTCAAGCACAGGGGTCAACCAGGGCCTGCCAGTTCTGGAGTAGTGCTCTGACAGCATCTCTCCCCAAGCTAGCAGCAGCACTGACATCTTTCCCAAACTGGGAACTGTAGCCTGGCCTTGCTCCTGGAGCACAACTACAGAGCCAACGAGTAATGGAAAGAATTATATACTTTATTCATATATTTCACAGTGGAATCTCACAGCTCAGAAAGCAGACACAAAGCAGGAAATAACCAACCAACAGCAAAAACAGGGAGAGATAAGGAGGGGACATGTTCTCACACTTCAAGGTGCTTGCACATTTAGTCTGTAAGTAGGTACCTTATGGCGTCTAAGAAGGTCCCTAGAGTGTTGTTCCCAGAGGAAGCATGAGGGAGTTTTCTTTACATGGAGTGGCAACCATTCCCTGGGTGGGAGACCCTCCCCAGAAAAAAAGGAGTCCCAGCTATGACCCATTCACTGGCTTCTGAAGAACCAGGCAGAGAGGAGGCAGATGCTCACCATAGGTAAGACATTCATATTTGGTAATTCTGGCATGGCTTTCCTGGGTAAACCCAGGACCAGAAGAGGACAGAAGACCTCTTTTACATCTTTGTCCCTAACTAGGAACTTCTAATCCCTTTCCCAGTCTACAGAACAACCTAACCATCTAGAAGAGGTCTAATGTTTGAGGCACAACCACACAGTCCACATGCAGGTTAACTCCAGACATTCATCCAGACTAGTGTCCAGGTGCAGTGAGGTAGTAAGAGAAGAAATACGACCCAGAGGTAAGGTGACTGGAATCACAAGTCCCTGATTCTGATGGACCTCAGCCTCCAGGTGACTAGCTGAGCTATACAGGCTCCATCAGGTACTAGGCCTTGCCTGTAGCAAACCTAAGAGGTAAGTCTCAATTCTGAGAGGCTGAGAGAAACAGTGGTGGGGAGCCAAGAACCAGACTGAATGACACCATGTAGAACTCACCCAAGGGACATGCCAGCATTAATTTATTACTCTGAGGGCTCTGCCTAGGCCCTCAGCCTTGCAAAGGCTCCATCATCCTTAAAAATGGCTGTCCTGTCAACATGTAGGAGAGCAAGCCCTTTACTCCCAGCCATGTTAGCCCAGGCTGTTAATGAAGTCATTACAGTATGACCAGCCCAAACTCCACAGCAGAGCTAGGCCACATGCAATGGGTAGCTCTCACTCCCAAGGTACTTGTTCCTGGGACCAAGGTTCTGCCTGGCCTCTCTACTCTTTCTCAGGTCATCAGCCTACTCAGAGGTCATAGACCTTACACATCCAAAAAAAAAAAAAAAAAAAAAAA